CTTGAAATACGAAAGAGTAAATTTATTCAATAAAATCGCCATTGGTTTCAACACGCCCCACCCGCCCCAGACAACTTCAGAATCTCCTGCAACTCTTCTCGGCAGTCTTCTTGTTTAATCTTGCCATAACCCTTTCCTTCAGGTCATCGTTTGTTGGTCTCTCGCTCAACTGCGCCCAACACATAAAGGGGTGATGTCGTTGCAGAAATTGCCTGACAGCCATGACTGGATTCTCCTAATTGTGCGGCGTGGTGGACAGCCCTGTTGTCAGATATAAGGTCACCCAGCAGTCACCCTCCTGACCCAGGGCAGCATTTCCTCCTCAAAGCACTTGATGCAGGCATCCGCGTTGACTCCGAGGCCCTCACCAACAAAATCGGAAGCTAAAAACTTCAAATTTAATTATATAATTAAATTAAAAGCATTAGTTCTGTTTCATCTTCAGGCGAACTTTGGAATAACTTATTTTCAAATTTACTGAGTTTTAAACGCACATATAAATTCATAATATCCTGTTTCCAAGGATACAGAGAAATCCAATCATTCAGACAAAGGCGATAGCGTGTTCATTTTTATTAACTATTGTTGTATCAATTATGAGTTACGTTCGAAAAAGAGGTTAAGTTTAGGGAGGGTAGGGGTGTATTTTTCAACGAATTTTGACATCCGTTCAACGCATGTCGTCTGTTTTTTTAACGGCAAAAAGTTTTTTCGGCATTTTTTCGTACTTATAGACTTAAAGATTCTATCTAGGGATGTTTGGGTTATAATATGTTTTATTTAACTACAATTTAAAATATTTTTACTCTTAATTACTAATAGACTATAGTTCTATTTAAAACAGGTAAATGTAATAGAATTACTTAAATTATTTAAAAAATAATTTATATCGAATATAAGTATGTACCTTACCAGCTCCCATTTTTTATTTTATTTTTATTTTTAAATATTTAAGGAAAATTTTTGACAATGACGGCAAAGAATAGCTATTTCATTTCTCTGATTCAGTAAATTTTTATTTTCTATAAACTTAGTAATATATAGTTTCTCATGTATGCACAAAGGACATGGGTCATTTAATGACCTACATCTTCTAGCTTTTTTTATTAATTTCCATTTTACTCTAGGTGTTTTACTGGATTCTTTTAATGCCAGAAATTTCATAATATATACAGATATATAGATATATATATATATATATATATATATATATATATATATATATATATATATATATATATATATATATAAACAGTAATTTTAATTTATTTGTAACAAACAGTTATTTCTGAAGAAAGATTGAGGTCAATCTGAAATATCAAATATATAAATAAATACTTTCATAAAAAAACATTATTGTTTTTAATTTGCAACTTTTTCTATATATATATATATATATATATATACATATATATATATATGCATATATATATATATACATATATATATACATAGATATACATATATATATATATATACATATATATATATATAGATATATATATATATACATATATATACAAATATATAGATATCTCTGTATATATATATATATATATATATATATATATTTCAATTAAAAGGTGCAATTATAATTTATAAATTCATGAATCATTTATACAAAAAAAATATAGAGGTTAATGATTTAAATGGCGAGAATACATCGTCGCAAACAATATAAATAAGATATACCAACCCCGAACCTGTATATGAATGATATGATCCCTGTTTATAAATTCCAGTTACATAAGGTCTTTTTAATTTTTTACAAGCTTTCGTCTGTTCCTACAGACATCATCAGGTATGGAAGTAGATTTTGTTCTTGTTTTTACTTCTCAGCAATAAGAGGACAACGAAAATAGAGATGTAATCCGAAAAAATGCTATGAGAAATGTGTTATTGTTTTGGAACGCGGGGTCGCAACGCTGAGTTTGAATTTAAATTTTAAGGTTGTGCGTTTTTGTACAAATATAGCAATAAGAGAATTCTTTTTTACTGGTAGATTTTCCGTGAATATGACATGAACTATATTGTTCAATAATTACAGTAATGGACAAAATTATGGGGCAGGTGTATAAAAGAAATATAATTGAAACTCATTTATTTTATTATTTAAAGAAAAAGGACAAAGCTTTTAAAGTAAAGTTAAACTGTATTTAATACTTACTCTGGGCTCATTTTACTTTTATAACTGCTTTTATGCGCTTTTGCATATTAGAGACCAGCTTAGCACAAGTTGCTGGCTCGATTTTCTGTCATTGTTCATGAAGTTTGGCTTCTAATTCACGTTTGGAAGATTCTTTGTGCAGCTTCGCTCTTATAAAAAAGCATGGCCACAAATGTTCAGTGGGATTCAGATCAGGAGATTGAGGAAGCCATTTTCATTAACCTCACTTCTTTCTTTCCAAACCCAACCTTAGAATCTCTGGATGTGTGACACGGTGCGTTGTCTTGTTGGAAGATTACTCCATCTGGAATATCATTGTTGAAAATCTTCTCAAATGAAGGTTGGTAACATTGGTCTAACATACTTGTGCAAGCATTGGAATTCATTCTACATTCACATGTGAATAACATTCCTGCCGCCGGAAGACAACATACAACCCCAAACCATTACGCTCCCACCTCCAAATTTTACAGTTGGGGCAATACACTGAACATCATATGCTTCCCCAAGACTTCGACGAACATAAACAACTCCAAGGGTTGCAAAAATCTGATAAGAATAAAAATTTTAGGGATAATTTTCTGTTCAATAAAAATACAGTATTAATAGACGCAATAAAATCAGTTCTGCTCGACAAATTAGTTTTAACTAGTAAAGAACACTTTAAAATTGCTTTCATCAAAGCAGACAACTTTGGCCCAATCCTCAGCTGTCTAATTGCTTTTTGCTAAAGAATGTTTCTTTTTTTTATTAACCTTAAACAGCAATGTTTTTTCTAGCTTTACATCCCTTGAGGTCAGCTTCTATTAATCTTCTTATCAAATTGAAATAGGAAAACCATAACGTTTTAGTGAGTATTTCTAGTTATTATTATTATTATTATTATTATTACAAACTTCCTAGCGACTATTTTAACCTTGTGCCACACTAAGCTTGGTTTATCTTAGTAACAGAAAACAGAAAACAGGAAAAATGTTGCCTCTTATTCTCAAAGAACTCTCCTGTGTTATAAGTTAGTAATGTCATGTCGAAACCCATCTGGATATGCGTTTGTATTTTCTATTGTTTTTTTTTCTTTTAACCTTTTTTTTTTTCTCGCGGTATTGTGTCATGTAAAACATTTTATGACGCTATCGTGTTTCTCTGGAGAGACAGGTACACGTGAATAGTTTAGGGTTGGGTGGAATTAAGAATGCTCTTCTGAAACAAAAAAAAATGATGGTGAGGGGAAGAAAAAAGATATAAATTAAAAGGAAGAAGAAAGAGACGGAAGAAGAAGAAGAAAAAGACAGAAGAAGAAAAATAAAGAGATAGAAGAAAGAGACAGAAGAAGAAGAAGAAAGAGGCAGAAGAAGAAGAAGAAGAAGAAGAAAGAGACAGAAGAAGAAGAAGAAAGAGGCAGAAGAAGAAGAAGAAGAAGAAGAAAGAGACAGAAGAAGAAGAAGAAAGAGGCAGAAGAAGAAGAAGAAGAAGAAGAAAGAGACAGAAGAAGAAGAAAGAGGCAGAAGAAGAAGAAGAAGAAGAAGAAGAAAGAGGCAGAAGAAGAAGAAGAAGAAGAAGAAAGAGACAGAAGAAGAAGAAGAAGAAAGAGGCAGAAGAAGAAGAAGAAAGAGACAGAAGAAGAAGAAGAAAGAGGCAGAAGAAGAAGAAGAAGAAGAAGAAGAAAGAGACAGAAGAAGAAGAAAGAGACAGAAGAAGAAGAAGAAGAAGAAGAAGAAAGAGGCAGAAGAAGAAGAAGAAGAAAGAGACAGAAGAAGAAGAAGAAGAAGAAGAAAGAGGCAGAAGAAAGACACAGAAGAAGAAAGACAGAAGAAGAAGAAGAAAGAGGCAGAAGAAGAAGAAGAAGAAGAAGAAAGAGACAGAAGAAGAAGAAGAAGAAGAAGAAGAAGAAAGACACAGAAGAAGAGAGACAGAAGAAGAAGAAGAAAGAGACAGAAGAAGAAGAAGAAGAAGAAGAAAGACACAGAAGAAGAGAGACAGAAGAAGAAGAAGAAAGAGACAGAAGAAGAAGAAGAAAGAACGCAAGAGTTTACATGGGAATGACGAAGTGAGAAGAAGAAGAAGAAGAAGAAGAAAGAGAAGAAAAACACTAGATGTTGAAAGGAAAAATATTGAAGAGTATAAAGTGTAAGAAGGAGATATCAAAATAAGAAGAATGTTAGAGAAAAGACGGAAGAAGAAGAACACTCGAGGATAAAGGGAAGTAAACTAAACATTATAAAGAAGAAAAAGATAACGAAAGAAGAAGAAAACGAAGAAAAAAAAAAAGAAAAAGAAAAACGCTAAAAGCTAAAGGGAAAAAGATAACGAAAATGAGAAGATGAAGAAAACGAAGAAGAAAAAAAGAACATTAGAAGCTAAACTGATGTAAACTAAATAATATGAAGAAGAAAAAGATAAGAAACGAGAAAAATGAAGAAGAAGAAAAAGAAAAAGAAAAAAAAGAAGAACGCAAAAGGCTAAAGTGAAGTAAACTGAAGACTATAAAAAAAAAGAAAAATGATAAAGAAACGAAAAGAAAAAGAAACCTAGATTTTACAGGGAACGTCAAAAGAAGATGAATGCTAAAAGATGATGATGATGATAAAGAAGAGAAGAGGAAAAAGAAGAAGAAGAAGAAGAAGAAGATGATGATAAAGAAGAGAAGAGGAAGAAGAAAAAGAAGAAGAAGAAGAAAAGAAGAAAAAAAAGATGATGATAAAGTAGAGAAGAGGAAGAAGAAGAAGAAAAAAGAAAAAGAAGAAAAAAGAAAAAGATGATAATGATGATAAAGAAGAGAAGAGGAAGAAGAAAAAGAAGAAGAAGAAGAAGAAGAAGAAAAAGAAGAAAAAGATCAAAAAGAAGATGATGATGATGATAAAGAAGAGAAGAGGAAGAAAAAGAAGAAGAAAAGAAGAAAAGGAAGATGATGATGATAAAGAAGAGAAGAGGAAGAAGAAAAAGAAGAAAAAGAAGAAAAAGAAGAAAAGAAGAAAAAGAAGATGATGATGATAAAGAAGAGAAGAGGAAGAAGAAAAAGAAGAAGAAGAAAAGAAGAAAAGAAGAAAAAGATGATGATGATAAAGAAGAGAAAGAAAAAGAAGAAGAAGAAAAGAAGTAAAAGAAGATGATGATGATAAAGAAGAGAAGAGGAAGAAGAAGTAGAAAAAGAAGAAGAAAAAGAAGAAGAAAAGAAGAAAAAGATGATGATGATGGTGATAAAGAGAAGAGGAAGAAGAAGAAGAAGAAAAAGAAGAAGAAGAAAATAAGAAAAAGATGATGATGATGATAAAGAAGAAAAAGAAGAAGAAGAAAAGAAGTAAAAGAAGATGATGATAAAAAAGAGAAGAGGAAGAAGAAGAAAAATACAACGAAGAAGAAGAAAAAGAAGAAGATTAGAGGCTACAGGGAAGTAAACTGGACAATATAAAGAAGAAGAAAAAGATAACGAAACGAAAAGAAGAAGAATAAAAAAAGAAGAAACGATAGATTTTACAGGAAAGAATATTGAAGAATATAAAATGTAAAAAGAAAAGATATTAAAAGAAGAAAAATGCTGGCAAGAACACTGAAAAGAGAAGAAGAAGAAGAAAAAGAATAAGAATGTTCGAAGCAAGAAAGATACAAAGAAGAAGGAGAATAATAATAATAATAATAATAATAATAATAATAATAATAATAATAATAAGGTTAGAGACTACAAGAAAGTAAATTTAACACTATAAAAAAGAAGAAAAAGTTAATGAAACAAGAAGAAGAAGAAGAAGAAGAAGAAGAAGAAGAAAAATAAAGAAAATTAGAAGCAAGGAAAATAAGAATGCTCGAGGAAAAACGCTAGAAGCAAGAAGACTGGCAGATAAAAAAAAAAAGAAAAGAAAAAATGACGTAAGAAGAAAAGGGAAAACCTATTCATGTTTGGGCTTGCATCAAGTGTTAAGAAAGCAATGAAAGGTTGTCGATTTAGAAAAATAAATGAAATGTTGTAGACATACACTTTTTGATGAAGAAGAGTTAGAAAGCGTATGAAAAAATAAAAATAAAAATAGGACTCTGCCTAGGCAAGTAAATAAAGCTTGACACCAAACCTTGAAAGCATCAATCATGGCGTTTAAACGTCAGAACACAGTACATGGGAGGAAAATACTTTAACACGACCGCATACAGAGAAGCGAACAAAGGGAGCGAACTGTCGTACGTCTGATAACGCTGGTGTCCATTCTAGGTAACACTGAGATTTTAACAAATTTAAGAATAGATTCCTGCGCTTGTAAAATCAAATACAGCGATATCTCGATTTAATCGTTTCGACTTATTTTCGAAGATACGTCGATTTTTCTTAAATATTACATGAAAAATAAAATTCGTCTTAAGTCGCTTTACTCGAGTTTACGTCGGCCGTTAAAAATATTAGAAATGGCGAAGCACTAAAATATCAATAAACATAAAATCATATTTAAATAAATATTACGTATGCTATAGATAAGCACGATAGTTTATGAAAAACTAGTTAATCCGTATGGGTAGACTCAAGGAGGATAAAATCCAGAGAGCTCAATGTAAATCCAGAGCAAATAATTTAAATAAAAACAGACCACTTTAAGATTCCAGGTAATAAATATATATATATATAAAATCATCAAAAACAAAAAAAATAGCATAATAAAGTTTGTTTAAGAGATGTTCTTATTTCGAATTCCTGTCGACAGGCGGGTCTCGTGCTTTGTTTTCCGCTCCAATGCCGATTTTGAATTCAGACTTGTTTACATTATGATTAAGAATACATTTTACCCATGGTTCCGAAGAAAAGTCCCAGTGCAAGTGCTAATGCTAAGCGTAATGCTATATCGCTGGTAGATAAGATGGAAATTATATTATTCAGAACACTGTATGTACATATCATACATACTGTAATAAGCAATGGGAATTGCTTATTTGCGGTTTATACTGTGCTTATTGCGACTTAAGTCGTTTATCGACCTAAGTCGTGACCTCTGGAAACAATTAACGACATAGGGTGAGGTATACCTGTAATTAAAAGAAAAATATATGCTTCTTGTTCATGAATCCTTCATTTTATATTTTAAATACACAGAAAATGTGAGGCCGAAATCTGAAGGCGTTTTGGACTAGATAAATATGTCATTTAATGCTGATGGTAATATCACCCGAGGTGAAAGAAGTACAGTAGAATCCCTGATAACCGGACTAAGAAGGCCTTCCGGATATGAGGAATTGGTTGCAAAATCCGGATATGAGGGATTCCGGATATGAGGAATTGGTTACAAAATCCGGATATGATGGGATATATTTAGATTAAAATAAAAGAACTGAAATCAGGTTTAACATTTATGTTCAATGTTTTATAGTAAACAAAATAATCTAATGATGAGTGAAATATAACAGAATTGATTTTAAAGAAAAAGAAATAAATTATGTAATGTTAATGAAAATTCATTAAATTAATTATGCCACGTATGCAAAACAAAATATGTAACAAGGATTTTTAATCGTTGTTGCATGATGATTCTTTCTCTTCTAATGTCATTCTCAACTTTTTCCTCATTTCGTTTCCCTTTTGTTCTTGAAATTTTTAAAACGGAAGACATTTTTAACTCTGCGTGTGTTATTGCTATCGTTATAGCTGAATGCTGGCTTTCTTTCCATAAAACTGACAGCTTTTTCAATAGGTTTTTCAATTTCACTCCAGGTTTCTTCACAATCATGTTTTATTTCCTTGTTCATTGTGGCAATGTCAACGCTGGAGAATAGTTTCTTTGGAAGATTTTATATCATACAATGTTGACTTTCCCATGGTGAACTCAGTTGTTTGTTACAATGAACTTTCACCAGCGTCTAGTCGGTATAAAATTTCCACTTTTTGCGATAACCCCAAAATTGTTCTTTTCTTCTTATTCCCATCATCTTTTGCACCAATAAAAGCCATTTGGGGAAAATAAGGATAAGCAATTATCCAAAGTAAATTTCCTGAAAAACAGAAATTTCGAGTCAGTGATTTTATTTCGGCAGGTGATGGTAATTAATTGATGTAGCGATTTCAATAGAAATTTAAAATCAGTTACATATCACCCAAATAGTTCAAATATACATTGGGGCCCCTTCTGTTTGTCTCAAGGTCCTCGATAAAATCCAAAGGCGGATATGCAATGTAATAGGTCCTGATCTGGCATCTCGTCTGCCGTCGCCTCCCTCTGTCTTTTTTACAAATACTTTCATGGTAATTGCTCCGATGAGCTGCTTTCGCTGGTTCCCAGACTTCATGAATTTAAGCGTTCTACTAGGCTGGCATCTCGCTCACACCCTTTCACTGTCGAAACTGTTAAATGTAGCCGTCTCTTCTACTCCAATAGCTTCATGTCTCGCACTTTTCGGCAGTGGAACTCCCTCCCCTTTTGCTGTTTCCCTGATAGCTATAATCTCCAACTATTCAAATGTAATGTCAATCGACGTCTCCAGATGCCTTGATCTATCCCCTATCCTTCTCTTCATCCTTTCCTCTATCACCCCTCATTGCTCTCGCTCCAACTCTCTGTAACCCCTTGCGTGCTAGTGGCTTCCCACCTTGCTTGGGGGTGTAATTTGCTTAAAAAAAATACACATCAAAATCATGTCCGGATATGCGGGATTCCAGATATGAGGTACTCCGGATATGAGGCACTCCGGATATGAGGTACTCCGGATATGAGGGATTCCGGATATGAGGCACTCCGGATATGAGGCACTCCGGATATGAGGGATTCCGGATATGAGGATTCTACTGTATTGAGAAGTAGGAAAATCTCGTTAGAAACAAAGAAAAGGACAATGAACTACGATGCAATATAAATGGAGTCGAGATTTATCCAGTCCTTCCAGTTTAGAATTACGGTTTCCGGTCTCTTCTAAATTCTACTTATACTCCTTCCGCTCATTTAAGTAGCGGTTTTTCCCTTGTTTCCTGTTTAGCAGTGGGTTTCATGTTTCTTCTAAAGTCTCCTTCAACCCTGTACCCCTAATGTCTTCTATTGAGTTCTGAAATTCTATCCACTAATTATTTTTTTCTTCCCCACATAATAGGAGTAGATAGGTTCGCCTATCGTCCGGTTTATACTCCTCCCCGGCCTTTTGAGCAAGAGTAGATGTTTATACCGTGTTTCCTGTTTAGGATTGGTTTTTCTAGCTCCTTCTAAAGTCCGCTTCTACACTAGACATCAAACGTCTCCGCCTGAACACTGAAATGTTATTCACTAAATAAATTTTGACCTCTTCAAGTCTCGAGCTAGTCGTTATCTATCCTGCATAGCCCTAAGAACTTCACTTCTTGCCCTTTCTTATACAATACAGTAGCCCTCTACCTTGAGTGGTTCTTGGGCCTTGTACTGGGGTAGTTTTAGTAAAAAATATATAAGGATATCCCCTTTTATTGGCTGTGAATGTTGGGGAATTTTCCCATAAATAAAGATGAGACTTGAGGCAAGAGAGATGTGGTTATACAGGAGGATGCTGAGAGTGTCATGGTTGGAACATGTGATCAGCGAGAAAGTTTTAAGGACAATGGAAACAAAAAAGACTCTTATAGGTAGAACAAGAAAGAGAGATGGAAAAGATATATATATATATATATATATATATATATGTATATATATAGAGAGAGAGTGAGTGAGTGAGTGAGTGAGAGAGAGAGAGAGTGAGAGAGAGAGAGTGCGTGTGTGTGTGTGTATTGAATCCATTGCTAGGTCAGCTGCTGAAAATGTTGGTTCACTGTGTCGTGCAAGACAATTTTTCTCTCCAGAATATATCATACATATCTATAATTCTACCATTCGTCCATGCTTGGAATATTGCTGCCACATAAGGTCTAGTCCCCTTGCTATTTACCTAGAGCCCCTTGACAAAATCCAAAGAAGAATCAGCAATTTTATCGGTCCTGCTCTGGCAGCTCGGCTTTACTCACTTTCCCACTGTCGTAAGGTTGCCTCTCTGTGTCTTTTTCTAAAAATATTTCATGGTAACTGTTCAGATTAGCACATAGAATTGATGAATTTAAGCGCAGTACTCGATTAGCCACAATGCTCCATCGGTTTACAGCTGAATTGGCTAGACGTAACCGTAAGTTCTATGCTAACAGTTTCTTCTCTAGCACTTCTCGATCATGAAACTCTCTTCCGGATTTATACTTGCCAGACAACTTTAATCTTAAAAAATTTAAATGCAATGTCAATCGTTATCTACTGTCTTCTTGATTACTCTTATCCTTCCTTAAAGATTCTCTTTTTTTCTTGTTTTAGATTCTTAGTGGCAGCAAGCCTTGCATGGGGTGAAAATGATTAAAAAATACGTGTGTGTGTGGGTGAGTGAGTGAGCGTATGTGTGTGTATAGGTGTGTGTGTATGTGTGTGCGCATATTGAGTGCCTACTGCGTGAGAATGTTACGTTTGCCTCCAAGACTAATTATCTCGTGTAGTCGAGAAAACACATAATGCAGGAAGTTTTGGTGAATTTAGCACTTACAGGTTACCTCGAATGCAAGAAAACGTTTAAGAAAGAAAAAGAAAGCCCTCCCACTCACCCCCAAAAAAAAACCCCAGCAAGATATCTTCTTTAAAAAGGCAGAGAAATATCGTAAAGAAGCAAGTCTTCCTGTAAGCAAGAAAGCTACAAAAGATACAGAAAGATGAATGCTTATATAATGGGATGGAAATTGTAGATAGATTCGAGGAAGGTGAGAAAAAGGGATTGTTTATTAATTTTAAGAAAATGAAAATATATTGTAGTAAGCAAAAGAGACAGACCAAGATGTAAGTTACACATCGGGGATGTCAAAGTTAAACAAGTGCGGACATTCAGCAAATTAATCATTCTAACGTTCGCAGATACAAGATTAAATTTAAGACATTTTTCATGTTTATACATTCTTTTTATAGATACAAATATTTAAGTAAATGCTCTGTTGATACTAAATAGTATTAACAACTGTTGACTATGTTTGCCGTAGTCTCTGAGTATGGAATCCAGTGAAGTCCGTAATCTCTTCAATATCAGAGGTTGGCAGTGTAGATTCGGAGAAAGTAGCAGCTGTTAATTCTTCAGGTCTTCGATATCAGAGGTTGGCAGTGAAGATGTTTTGGGAGAAAAAACAAAATGGCTGCCTTTATACACGTCGGATTGAATATTTTGAGCTTTCTGATTGGTTAACCCTTCTATTGGTGTACTATAAAAT